CACTCATTACCTGTATTAACTGCACCTGTTTGAACTCGTTACCTGTATAAAAGACACCTGTCCACACACTCAATCAAAACAGACTCCAACCTCTCCACAATGGCCAAGACCAGAGAGCTGTTTAAGGACATCAGGGATAAAATTGTAGACCTGCACAAGGCTGGGATGGACTACAAGACAATAGGCAAGCAGCTTGGTGAGAAGGCAACAACTGTTGGCGCAATTATTAGAAAATGGAAGTTCAAGATGACAGTCAATCACCCTCGGTCTGGGGCTCCATGCAAGATCTCACCTCGTGGGGCATCAATGATCGTGAGGGATCAGTCCAGAACTATACGGCAGGACCTGGTCAATGACCTGAAGAGAGCTGGGACCACAGTCTCAAAGAAAACCATTAGTAACACACTACGCCGTCATGGATTAAAATTTGCAGCGCACGCAAGGTCCCCCTGCTCAAGCCAGCGCATGTCCAGGCCCGTCTGAAGTTTGCCAATGACCATCTGGATGATGCAGAGGAGGAATGGGAGAAGGTCATGTAGTCTGATGAGACAAAAATAGAGCTTTTTGGTCTAAACTCCACTCACCGTGTTTGGAGGAAGAAGAAGGATGAGTACAACCCCAAGAACACCATCCCAACCGTGAAGCATGGAGGTGGAAACATCATTCTTTGGGGATGGTTTTCTGCAAAGGGGACAGGACGACTGCACCGTATTGAGGGGAGGATGGATGGGGCCATGTATCGCGAGATCTTGGCCAACAACCTCCTTCCCTCAGTAAGAGCATTGAAGATGGGTCGTGGCTGGGTCTTCCAGCATGACAACGACCCGAAACACACAACCAGGGCAAATAAGGAGTGGCTCCGTAAGAAGCATCTCAAGGTCCTGGAGTGGCCTAGCCAGTCTCCAGACCTGAACCCAATAGAAAATCTTTGGAGGGAGCTGAAAGTCCGTATTGCCCAGCAACAGCCCCGAAACCTGAAGGATCTGGAGAAGGTCTGTATGGAGGAGTGGGCCAAAATCCCTGCTGCAGTGTGTGCAAACCTAGTCAAGACCTACAGGAAACGTATGATCTCTGTAATTGCAAAAAGGTTTCTGTACCAAATATTAAGTTCTGCTTTTCTGATGTATCAAATACTTATGTTATGCAATAAAATGCAAATTAATTACTTAAAAATCATACAAATGTGATTTTCTGGATTTTTGTTTTAGATTCCGTCTCTCACAGTTGAAGTGTACCTATGATAAAAAGTACAGACCTCTACATGCTTTGTAAGTAGGAAAACCTGCAAAATTGGCAGTGTATCAAATACTTGTTCTCCCCACTGTGTATATATATATATATATATATTTCAGTCTAATACGGCTATTTACTTTTGTAGCTCTTCATCAGAAGCACGCTTTTTGTAAAGTAGTTAGGGACAAAAATCTACCATTTTTTCTAAATTAGCAGGGTTTGAATTTGTTGACAAAATGCGGGACATTATTGTTTGGTTGCAGGACAAAGGGACAAAATGCGGGACTGTCCTGCACAATCCGGGACATGTGGTCACCCGAGAATAGTGTGAGAGGGACCACACAGAGCAACTTCATATGACACTTAAAAGCTGCGTTCACAAACTACCCTTAGCCCAGGGCTGACAGCCTCCTTAGCCCAGGGCTGACAGCCTCCTTAGCCCAGGGCTGACAGCCTCCTTAGCCCAGGGCTGACAGCCTCCTTAGCCCAGGGCTGACAGCCTCCTTAGCCCGGGGCTGACAGCCTCCTTAGCCCGGGGCTGACAGCCTCCTTAGCCCGGGGCTGACAGCCTCCTTAGCCCAGGGCTGACAGCCTCCTTAGCCCAGGGCTGACAGCCCTCTTAGGCCTGGGCTAATTTTAACTAAGGGGAAGCCCTTGGCTAAGAGAATGCACTGTGAAAAGGCCTAAAGTAGCTGCCATTCATGGGCTGTAGAGGGTGGCCACTTACCATTCTTGTAGATCTTCTCAAAATCAGCCTGCTCCTCAATCCGCTGGGCCAGATGCAGGACACCCATCCTCTGTGGACAAACACCAAACAAACATACATACATACATAAGTCCATTTAGAAGAGGCTAGGGAACTAGGGACAGGGCTCAGTCATTCAGCTTGTTCTCTAAAATAATACGCTCAATAATAAGTTAACCAACTGTGTAAAACAGGAGCCACTGGTTGTCTTTGAGCAACCCTCTGCCTCCCACCTCTAACGGTCTCGTCAGAATGATGACCCCCCACAGTGTGTGAAACAAGGTGGTTTCAAGTAATAATGAGTGCAGCCCTCCTAGCTCCTACCTGTAGCTGGGACTGTATAAGTTAAAGTTGGCAGTGAAGGGTCCCTCAGTGGAAGTGTAACACCCACACACCTGTAGCTGGGACTGTATGGAGCGGCGGGCCAGCTCTGGAGGACTTCCTACCTGTAGCTGGGACTGTATGGAGCGGCGGGTCCAGCTCTGGAGGACTTCCTACCTGTAGCTGGGACTGTATGGAGCGGCGGGCCAGCTCTGGAGGACTTCCTACCTGTAGCTGGGACTGTATGGAGCGGCGGGCCAGCTCTGGAGGACTTCCTACCTGTAGCTGGGACTGTATGGAGCGGCGGGCCAGCTCTGGAGGACTTCCTACCTGTAGCTGGGACTGTATGGAGCGGCGGGTCCAGCTCTGGAGGACTTCCTACCTGTAGCTTGGACTGTATGGAGCGGCGGGCCAGCTCTGGAGGACTTCCTACCTGTAGCTGGGACTGTATGGAGCGGCGGGTCCAGCTCTGGAGGACTTCCTACCTGTAGCTGGGACTGTATGGAGCGGCGGGCCAGCTCTGGAGGACTTCCTACCTGTAGCTGGGACTGTATGGAGCGGCGGGCCAGCATGCTCTGGATGACGTTGGTGCGGTCCAGACAGTCCATGCAGTTACTGCGGAACGTCCCCTTCTGCTGGGACAACACCTTCCCCTCCGTGTCTACCATGAAGTAGCTACAGGGAGACAGAGAAAACACATCCACAGAACCAGTAACAGCACTGACGTTGGGACACCACCTAGCCCTCCGCTGCAGGGAGACAGAGAAAACACATCCACAGAACCAGTAACAGCACTGACGTTGGGACACCACCTAGCCCTCCGCTGCAGGGAGACAGAGAAAACACATCCACAGAACCAGTAACAGCACTGACGTTGGGACACCACCTAGCCCTCCGCTGCAGGGAGACAACAGAGGGGTCGTCATCAGAAGACAAGGCTAGGGTGTGAGTCCCAAATGGCACCCTATTGCCTATATAGTGCACTGTCTACTTGGGCCTCAATAGTAGGGTATAGGGTGCCATTTGGGATGCAACCTGGGAGAACACATATGCCCAGAGGAATTTCAGAAGTCACGTGACTGACTAAATGTAATCACTGGCATTTGACCCTGAAGACAGACCAGAGATAAAGAGGAGAGGAGAGGAAGCCTCCCCTCTGTGTTCGTATGCCTATCCTCTGGCTAAAGGGGTGTAGACTAGCAGCTATGCAAAAGGAGTCAATAGGGAGCAATACCCGTATTCATCTTGTGTCTCAGCCACACTGTCCACCAGGATATTCAGACGATCCCATCTCATCCCACTGCACTCCTTGTGGAAGTCAAATGCTACGTACCTGCAGGCATAAGAAACAAGGAGTGGATGCGTTAGATCCATCCATTCATGCATCCATCTAAAATGTATAAATCATAGAGATGATAATACGGTGGATGAGGGTGTTCAGGAGAGCGGTGGTCGGTTCCTACTTGATCATGCCGTTCTCCATGCCAGTCACCATCTTGGCAAACGCTTGCTCCAGGGGCTTCTCTGAACCCTTCTGGTTGACCTGGAGGAAGAAAAACACCTCATCTTACACTGAACAAAAATATAAAAAAAACGCAACATATAAAGTGTTGGTCTATGTTTCATGAGCTGAAATAAAAGACCCCGGAAATTTTCCATATGCACAAAAAACATATTTCTCTCACATGTTGTGCACAAATTAGTTTACATCCCTGTAAGAGCAATCCATCCACCTGACAGGTGTGGCATATCAAGAAGCTGATTAAAAAGATTGATCATTACTCAGGTGCACCTTGTGCTGGGGACAATAAAAGGCCACTAAAATGTGCTGTTCTGTCACACAACACAATGCCACAGATGTCTCAAGTTGAGGGACCGTGCAATTGGCATGCTGACTGCAGGAACGTCCACCAGAGCTGTTGCCAGAGAATTGAATGTTCATTTCTCTACCATAAGCCGTCTCAATGCTGTTGTAGAGAATTTGGCAGTACGTCCAACCGGCCTCACAACCGCCTGCCATCCCAGGACCTCCACATCAAGCTTCTTCACCTGAGGCATCGTCTGAGACCAGCCACCTGGACAGCTGATGATACTGTGGATTTGCACAACCGAAGAATTTCTGCACAAACCGGCAGAAACCGTCTCAGTGAAGCTCATCTGCGTGCTCGTCATCCTCACCAGGGTCTTGACCTGACTGCAGTTCGGCGTCGTAACCGACTTCAGTGGGCAAATGCTCACCTTCGATGGGCCACTGGCACGCTGGAGAAGTGTGCTCTTCATGGATGAATCCCGGTTTCAACTGTACCGGGCAGATGGCAGATGGCAGATGGCAGATGGCAGATGGCAGACAGACAGTACGGTATCAGGTGGGCTAGCGGGTTTGCTGATGTCAACGTTGTGAACAGAGTGCTCAGCATATGTGGGAACTCCTTCAAGATTGTTGAAAAAGCATTCCAGGTGAAGCTGGTTGAGAGAATGCCAAGAGCGTGCAAAGCTGTCATCAAGGCAAAGGGTGTCAATGTAAATCGTCCGGATGGCCATTAGATTAATTGTTCAGCAGTCTTATGGCTTGGGGGGGTAGAAGCTTTTAAGGAGATGCATAACTGTCTTCCCAGTCATGTGAAATCCATTGATTAGGCCCTATTTGAAATTGCTACATGTTGCATTTATATTTTTGTTCAGTGTATATCAATCTTTCTAATGCTTCTCTCTCACAATGCTGTGACAAAGGGATATGCTTTAGCCATTGTGAGGCTTAAAAAATGAAGGGGCCTACCAGGTTCAGAATGGTCTGCTTTCCATAGATGAGGACCTGGGAGTCAAAATGCCTCTGGAAGCCATCCATCTAGGAAGACAGTTGGGGGAAGAATTAGTTAATTGATGATTTGATAGACAAGAGCTGCAATAGATAAAAGGGAAACTGCCAGAAGATGTGAAAGCACTTACGTGATTGGTGTTCTTGCTGATCAGTGGTTTGGGCTTGTATTTCAGGTTGGGCCTCTGAGACCAGAAGAAGGGCATGGAGCCTCGTGTCTGTGGAGGGAAACAGACATTTAAAAATAAGCTCTTATTTCTCTGTGTTGGTTCAGAGTAGGGCAGTTGCGGTCATGAAGTTTTGCCAGGCGGTTATTGTCATGCAAAAGTCTGCCGGTCTCACGGTAATTGACATAAACACATTTAACATCTCCAGGCCTCCACGCATATAAGCTGAATACAAGCCGCTGATGTGAGCCTTTGGAACATCTACATTTAAAAAAAGGTATAATAAATGAATTTAATATAAAACCATCAATATAAATCCATTATTTATTTTAGTCCGGTCTAAAGAAACATTATCATATGAAGAAAATGTATTTTTCGAAGAACAGAATATGAGTTGGCCTACTGTATGTTACCTGGCTATGCTCCATGCCATAGACTGTAGGCTTGTTCATTTAGCAGACAAGAAATGCTTATAAGTTCAATGCCATTATTTTATATTATATGATTTTATAGTAAGAAGAATATAATTGAATTTAGCTGAATAAAATAGAACGGCTATTTTTCCCATTCCGGTGCGCGTATGAAGTGGCTATGTTGAGCGTAAAAGTGATCATTTGAAACAGGCCTTATGCACTAGATTTAGAGTTATTTAGCAACTTTAGTTGTTAATGATACAAACCTTAATGTCTTAGAAATTAAAACATATTATGGGCTGCATGGTGCGACTAAAGGCTATGGATGATTTGAGAAAGTTCCTTGCCTCAGGCTGCACACGCTGCTCTCTCATCAAGTGATCAGATTTTTCACCCATCAGACTATTCTCAATTGAATTCTCTTTACTAATATGTCAAATGTGGTTTGATTTAGAATGGCCCATTAACACATGGGCAGGAACGGGGGGCAGGATGAATAAAGACATGTCATCTGTTTGCTCTGAATAGCGAATGGAGGCGGCACGTTTTCCCCACTAATCCGTTTTTTCAACGATGCGGGGTAGGCTACTTTTTATAGCGGAGCATGTGCTTAATATGAGCAGCAGAGAAATAACACTTTATTTCACTCCAGGCACCAACCACTGTTTGAGGAGCGACAGGTGATATTCTGCCCAGTACTCTGTATGCCATGGGCTCTCCAACCCTGTTCCTGCAGCTACCCAGTGCTTCATTTGGGAAACCCAAGTGAAACATTGATAGTAACATGTTTTCGCAAACAAAAACATATTTCACTAAACTGTTGACAGCCCCTCTGCACGCTCGAGAAAGGAATCAAGGAGAGAGAGGAGATGGAAACACATGGTGGTGAGATATTCTGTAGCTAAAAGGTAATGGTTCAGCCTATTCATTATGAAAATATAAAAAATGCCCTATTACTAGGCTTTTCAAAATCAAATACAAAATTGCTGTTGCTGCTACTACTACTACTACTACTACTACTACTACTACTACCACCGCTACTACTACCACTAATAATAAGCCATTTAGCAGACGCTTTTATCCAAAGCGACTTACAGTCATGTGTGCATACATTTTTACGTATGGGTGGTCCCGGGGATCGAACCCACTACCCTGGCGTTACAAGCGCCGTGCTCTACCAGCTGAGCTACAGAGGACCACGACTACTACTGCGACTACTACTGCGACCACCACCACCACCACCACTACCACTACTACTACTACTACTACTACTACTACTACCACTACTACCACTACTACTACTACTACTACTACTACTACTACTACTACTACTACTACTGCTACTGCTACTACTACTACTACTACTACTGCTACTGCGACTACTACTACTACTACTACTACTACCACCACTACTACCACTACTACCACTACTACTACTACTAACACTACTAAAGTGAGGGAAAAAAGTATTTGATTTTGTACGTTTGCCCACTGACAAAGACATGATCAGTCTATAATTTTAATGGTAGGTTTATTTGAACAGTGAGAGACAGAATAACAACAACAAAAAACACATGTCAAAAATGTTATGAATTGATTTGCATTTTAATGAGGGAAATAAGTATTTGACCCCTCTGCAAAACATGACTTAGTACTTGGTGGCAAAACCCTTGTTGGCAATCACAGAGGTCAGACGTTTCTTGTAGTTGGCCATCAGGTTTGCACACATCTCAGGAGGGATTTTGTTCCACTCCTCTTTGCAGATCTTCTCCAAGTCATTAAGGTTTTGAGGCTGACGTTTCGCAACCTTCAGCTCCCTCCACAGATTTTCTATGGGATTAAGGTCTGCAGACTGGCTAGGCCACTCCAGGACCTTAATGTGCTTCTTCTTGAGCCACTCCTTTGTTGCCTTGGCCGTGTGTTTTGGGTCATTGTCATGCTGGAATACCCATCCACGACCCATTTTCAATGCCCTGGCTGAGGGAAGGAGGTTCTCACCCAAGATTTGGCGGTACATGGCCCCGTCCATCGTCCCTTTGATGCGGTGAAGTTGTCCTGTCCCCTTAGCAGAAAAACACCCCCAAAGCATAATGTTTCCACCTCCATGTTTGATGGTGGGGATGGTGTTCTTGGGGTCATAGGCAGCATTCCTCCTCCTCCAAACACGGCGAGTTGAGTTGATGCCAAAGAGCTCCATTTTGGTTTCATCTGATCACAACACTTTCACCCAGTTCTCCTCTGAATCATTCAGATGTTCATTGGCAAACTTCAGACGGCCCTGTATATGTGCTTTCTTGAGCAGGGGGACCTTGTGGGCGCTGCAGGATTTCAGTCCTTCACGGCGTAGTGGGTTACCAATTGATTTTTGGTGACTATGGTCCCAGCTGCCTTGAGATCATTGACAAGATCCTCCCGTGTAGTTCTGGGCTGATTCCTCACCGTTATCATAATCATTGCAACTCCACGAGGTGAGATCTTGCATGGAGCCCCAGGCCGAGGGAGATTGACAGTCTTTCTTCCATTTGCGAATAATCGCACCAACTGTTGTCACCTTCTCATCAAGCTGCTTGGCGATGGTCTTGTAGCCCATTCCAGCCTTGTGTAGGTCTACAATCTTGTCCCTGACATCCTTGGAGAGCTCTTTGGTCTTGGCCATGGTGGAGAGTTTGGAATCTGATTGATTGCTTCTGTGGACAGATGTCTTTTATACAGGTAACAAGCTGAGATTAGGAGCACTCCCTTTAAGAGTGTGCTCCTAATCTCAGCTCGTTACCTGTATAAAAGACACCTGGGAGCCAGAAATCTTTCTGATTGATAGGGGGTCAAATATTTATTTCCCTCATTAAAATGCAAATCTATTTATAACATTTTTGACATGAGTTTTTCTGGATTTTTTTGTTGATCAAATACTTTTTTCCCTCACTGCACCACCACCACCACCACCACTACTACTACTTACACTACCACCACTACTGCTACTACTAACACTACAACTACTACTACTACCACCACCACCACTACTACAACTCACCTGTACGAATGAAGCCCTCCCTCCATTGTACAGGACTATTTGCTCCGTCTCCACAAAGTTAGCAGCGTGGCCCTCAGAATCGATACCTGAGGAAAAACGAATAATGATCATGAGAGAATGATTACGCACGTCCACAGGGCCATTACTGATTCAACATGCCAGTAATGCTGCTCAGTACAGTAGTATGGTCCCATCCCAAATAGCACCCTATTCCCTATATAGTGCACTACTTTTTACCAGAGCCCTATGAGCCCTGGTCAAAAAGTAGTGCACAACATAGGGAACAGGGTGCCAACTGGGACGTGGCCATGTGTCTTACCTCTGACGTAGTACCTGACCCCAGCCCTGAAGCAGCTCCTTCTGGATATGAGGATCCATTCAAAGATCTTCCCGTTGACACGGCACGGCTTCATCACAATGACTGGATCAGGGTCATCAAGGACCTCACAGAATACACTACTACAGCATCAGGCCAAAAGGTCAAATTCTACTAAGGCAGCTTCCGAAATGGCACCCTATTCCCCATTTAGTGCACTACTTTTGACCAGGGCAGAAGTAGTGCATTATATAGGGAATAGGGTGCCATTTGGGACATGCCCAAAGCGGAGGATGCTATTGTACTTGTATTCTAAGTGGCGGATGTTATTATTTTCTGACCTGGCAATGGCTTTCTAAAGTGCCCCCTGAGGGAATTATTTAAGTTCCACTGAGTTGAAATTGGATATTGGAACACTCCGAGACCTATTCAAACTCTATGTTCCGAAGTGGGCCCATTGATTACTACTACACTAAGATCGGTGGGAACAGAGCCAGACCATGGAAAGGATACATCCATGGACAACAGGGATCGCAAACCTGTGGAGCTGAAAGGGAAGAAAATATCACATTTTAAAAACGGGATACGTCATCAGAACAAAGAACAAAAACTGTGGCGTTATAGTTGTCATATCACTCACCTCCGGCTGTGCAAGGAACTCTCTCAGGAGGCTTCCATTCCACACAAACCTCTGATCTGCCTAGAAACAGGAGAACCAACCAGTCAGTCACAGACTCAATCTAATTCCTCAATCTGTTCGTCAACCTGCAAACGTTCTAAAGATCGACAACATTTTCATCCTAGTCGACAGGGGTGGATTTTTATTTTGTCAAACTTTATTGTGAAAAATGATGGAAACAGTGTTTTTCGAATGAATGATTATTGCTTAATCATTTGGAAGGTACGCGGGGCACATGAGATCTCTGCTTAACTATAAAGCTCCACTCCACATTTAAATTCTAAATGCCTACTGCTATCAACATTTGTTCTACTACAAAAATGGTTTCTTTGCAGGACAAGGATTGCCCTGACTTTCAAGAATGCCCGAATTGCTTCGCCTTGCTTTTTCTGGTTGGCTGGCAAGCTTCACCGTACAATTATTTCATATCTACAGGAGTACAAGTTCACCATGGCACGGACCGTGGCGATACGTTGGCACAAGAGAATAGTTAGAATATGGTAAATATTAGTAAATTTTTGCATTCTATCCAGGCTGGCTTTCGCAGGCTATTCCTGAGACATGAAACATATGTGGGAGGGCATACAGGCTGTCTCCAATTTATTAATGGTCCATTTTCCTAAATGGGTAATGGAAACCATTCAACCACTACATTTTTATTAGACGCTAGTTATTTTTGTGGTGTGACATTACGTCCAGCTGTTTTTAATTGACAAGATAGTTAAATGGAAATGCATCCTAGCAGGCAATTATCACATGTATTTTATATGCAAACTGGAAACATAGCTAGAGGCTTCATTCCAAATGCACCCCCGTTCCCTATATAGTGCATTACTTTGGAACATGGTCCATAGGGGACGGTATGGACAGACAGTGACGGTATGGACAGACCGTGACGGTATGGACAGACCGTGACGCCTGTTCCATCGCAAAACTACGGCACATGTTCTTCTCACCATCAAACCAGTTAGACAAGGTTTCAGTGGAGGAGAAAGTGAAGATACTGGACACAAGAGTAATGCCTCAGCTGAGACTGAGGGGGGTTGAAAAGGTGAGTGTGTGTGTGTGTGTGTGTGTGTGTGTGTTTACGTGAGTAAATGCATCTGTGTGTGTGTGTACATGAGGGCAAGGTGACTAGTGTGGTTTACATGCATGGCAGGAGCCCAAACACCACAGTTAATCTGGCAGTGACACTCCTCCAATATGGATGAGACCTGGATATCATCATCTAATGGGATGATACTCTCCGACCTCAGCCTTTGTGGTTGAAAACTCTGGCCCTGTCCAAAAACAACTCTTATGCTCCTAAAATAAGCACTTGATCTAGATTCTAAAGAACCGGTTAGTTATAAGCAATATGGTGGTAGCTGGACCTTGCCCTCTGATAGAGGTAGACAGGTTACCACACTGCTCATATCCAATCTTTCCAGGTCTACACAGGAGCCTAGAGGGCTAGGTAGGGTCGTTTCTGGACAGGGTTCCAGAGAAACAATAGCTCTCCCTCTCCTCTCCTGCCCTCCCCCCCTCCTCTCCTACCCCCATCTCTCCTACCCTCCCCCCTCCCTCCCTCCTCTCCTTCCCTCCTCTCCCTCCTCCTCTCCTCTCCTCTCCTCTCCTCTCCTCTCCTCTCCTCTCCTCTCCTCTCCTCCCCTCCCCCCACCTCCTCCTCCTCTCCCCTCCTCCTCCTCCTCTCCTACCCTCTCCAGCAGGCTCATCTCCTGGAAGTCGTGGCTGACGTTGGCCAGTCTCTGGACGGTGTGGGTCAGGTCATAGTCAGTGCAGAAGTAGAATCCATCTGTAGTCAGCACGTTGTTAATCATGGACAGGAACGTCTTGTTGTCTTGCGTCTGGAGAGAGGGAGGGGAGAAAATAGATTAGCTGGCTGGGCACAACTCATGACAGTGCAGTTTGCAGGAGTTGTGTGTGTGAAATGTGAGAAGAGGCTGTTAAGCCAGGGACGTTTCATATGAAATTAAGCAGCATGCTTTACAAACATTGTTGGTCAGCTAGTAAGATTTCTTCAAACAAATTGTTATTGCATGGATGACATCTTTTATGTATTATAATAGCCCTCAGAGTTGATGGATTTCATTCTAAACCTTGTCCACTTCACCTCCCTCCCTCCCAGGGCTTTACTGCACGTGGAAGTTTAGGGTGCATAACCTCTAATGATCTCTGCGTCCCCAATGGCAGCCCCCTATTCCCTATCTGGTGCAGGTGTCTTACATCAGCTACCGAGCAACCCCAGGCGTTAAGGCCCCTCCCTCCACATGTCTAATAGGATCTGTATTCTGGATGCTAAGCCGGTTAACCCACGGAGAGAAGGGGAGAGCGAGAGAGAGAGAGAGAAGACTGACATGAATGACTCTACGGCTCCGCCCACAACGATTTCTACTTTCTCCCGAAGTGTGCACTTCTCAATGGAGTCTTTCCGCAATCCCTCACATCCTATCTGCTTGTCTCCTACTCAGCAGTATTGGAGAAGGTTCCTCCTCAAGTCTTCTCCAATGCGTTCTGAAGAAGAGGCAAGGAAATAGAAATGAGAATGGTCCTATAGCTCCTCCCCCCGACGAGGCTGCAGCTTCCCTGCATGACGTCAGCACTTTATATCCTGTTTTTGTAAGTGAATGCAGTCTGCCCCCCCCCCCCAAAAAAAAACAAAATGGGGGATAGGGTGCCATTTGGGATCAAACATGGTTCCTAACACCTCCAAACTAATCTCCACCCCCAGTTTCAACTTCACCCATGGCACTCATGGAAATATAAAAAGGTATTACACACTTTAAGCATTTATTAGGCCAAAAACATAAAACTTTCACTGACCATTCTAATAAGATATATGATGCCACCTTTCCAAGTCATTTCTTCAAATTTCTGCCCTGCTAGAGCTGCCCCGGTCAACTGTAAGTGCTGTTATTGTGAAGTGGAAACGTTTTGGCGCAACAACGGCTCAGCCGAGAAGTGGTAGGGCACACAAGCTCACAGAACGGGACCACCAAGTGCTGAAGTCCGTAGCGCGTAAAGATCTTCTGTCCTCGGTTGCAACACTCACTACCGAGTTCCAAACTGCCTCTGGAAGCAACCTCAACACAATAACTGTTAGTCTGGGAGCTTCATGAAATAGGTTTCCATGGCCGAGCAGCCGGATACAAGCCTAAGATCATCATGAGCAATGCCAAGCGTCGGCTGGAGTTGTGTAAAAATCGCCGCCATTGGACTCAGGGAGCAGTGGAAACGCGTTCTCTGGAGTGATGAATCACGCTTCACCATCTGGCAGTCCGATGGACGAATCTGGGTTTGGCGGATGCCAGGAGAACGCTACCTGCCCCAATGCATAGTGCCAACTGTAATGTTTGGTGGAGGAGGAATAATGGTCTGGGGCTGTTTTTCATGGATTCGGGCCTAGGCCCCTTAGTTACAGTGAAGGGAAATCTTAACGCTACAGCATACAATAACATTCTAGACGATTCTGTGCTTCCAACTTTGTGGCAACAGTTTGGGGAAGGCTCTTTCCTGTTTCAGCATGACAATGCCCCCGTGCACAAAGCGAGATCCATACAGAAATGGTTTGTCGAGATCGGTGTGGAAGAACTTGACTGGCCTGCACAGAGCCCTGACCTCAACCCCATCAAAACACAGAGCCCTCACACAAAGCTACAGACACACGAGCTAGCACACACACATACATTGTAATATTGTTGTTTGGTGGAATTATACATTTTGTACTGCAGATGTGTAGTGGTGTAATAACATTATATAAATGTACAGTTTTATCTTTTGTTTTATATGTAATGTAAGTGCCTTAATGCATTTGGACCCCAGGAAGAGTAGCCGCTGCCTTGGCAGCAGCTAATGGGAATCCCTAATAAATACAAATACCTCATCCCCATCAAATACCTTTGGGATGAATTGGAACGCCAACTGCGAGCAAGGCCTAATCGCCCAACATCAGTGCCCGACTTCACTAATGCTCGTGGCTGAATGGAAGCAAGTCCCCGCAGCAATGTTCCAACATCTAGTGGAAAGCCTTCCCAGAAGAGTGGAGGCTGTTATAGCAGCAAAGGGGGGGGACCAACTCCATATTAATGCCCATGATTTTTGGAATGAGATGTTCGACGAGCAGGTGTCCACATACTTTTGTAGTGCATGTCAAATCTGTGTAGTTGTGGTGTAAAAAGGTGTAAAAACAAAGTTTAATTTTGTCCTCCGAATAGGGGTGGTGGTGGATGCACCAAAAATAAAATATATACACAGTACCAGTCAAAAGTTGGGACACACCTACTCATTCCAGGGTTTTTCTTTATTTTACTATTTTCTACATTGTAGTATAATAGTGAAGACATCAAAACTATGAAATAACACATATGGATTCATGTAGTAACCCCAAAAGTGTTAAACAAATCAGAATATATTTTATATTTGAGATTCTTCAAAGTAGCCACCCTTTGCCTTTGACAGCTTTGCGCACACTTGGCATTCTCTCAACCAGCTTCAGTCTTGAAGGAGTTCCCACATATGCTGAGCACTTGTTGGCTGCTTTTCCTTCACTCTGCGGTCCAACTAATCTCAAACCATCTCAATTGTGCTGAGGTCGGGTGATTGTGAAGGCCAGGTCATCTGATGCAGCACTCCATCACTCTCCTTCTTGGTCAAATAGCCTTTACACAGCCTGGAGGTGCATTGGGTCATTGTCCTATTGAAAAACAAATGGCGTATCGCTGCAGAATGCTGTGGTAGCCATGCTGGTTAAATGTCTCTTGAATTCACTGCTTCACTGGTCTTCAAGGAGAGATACAAAAGCAATACATTGAAATGTAGACCTATATATACACACCACTATGATTTATACCATATCTATAGCATATTTTATTATCTTTACCATATTATCTATTCCACATTTTACTTCACATTTCAAATAGCTTCATACTGCAGAAGGATTGCCTGCAGGTTTCCATTGCTTCATTGATTATCAAGAGATCTGAAACCATTGTTTGTATTGGAATGTAAATAAATCACTGACAGTGTCACCAGCAAAGCACCCGCCCACCATCACACCTCCTCCTCCATGCTTCACGGTGGGAACCACACATGCGGAGTTCATCCGTTCACCTACTCTGCGTCTCATCAGACAAAAGGACAGATTTCCACCGGTCTAATGTCCATTGCTCGTGTTTCTTGTCCCAAGCAAGTCTCTTCTTCTTATTGGTGTCTTTAGTAGTGGTTTGTTTGCAGCAATTCGACCATGAAGACCTGATTCACACAGTCTCCTCTGAACAGTTGATGTTGAGCTGTGTGTTACTTGAACTCTGATTTCTGAGGCTGGTAACTAATGAACTTATCCTCTGCAGCAGAGGTAACTCTGGGTCTTCCATTCCTGTGGTGGTCCTCATGAGAGCCAGCTTCATCCTAGCGCTTGACGTTTTTGCGACTGCACTTGAACAAACTTTCAAAGTTCTTGACATTTTCCGGATTGACTGACCTTCATGTCTTAAAGTAATGATGGCTGTCGTTTCTCATTGCTTATTTGAGCTGTTCTTGCCATAATATGGACTTGGTCTTTTACCAAATAGGGCTATCTTCTGTATAACAACCCCACCTTCTCACAATACAAGTGATTGCCTCAAACGCATTAAGAAGGAAAGAAATTCCACAAATTAACTTAACAAGGCACACCTGTTAATTGAAATGCATTCCAGGCAACTACATCATGAAGCTGGTTGAGATAATGCCAAGAGTGTGCAAAGCTGTCATCAAGGCAAAGGGTGGCTACTTTGAAGAATCTCAAATATAAAATATATTTTGATTTGTTTAACCTCTTAAGGATCGGACCCCCCCCCCCCCAGGAAACGTATGATCTCTGTAATTGCAAACAAAGGTTTCTGTACCAAATATTAAGTTCTGCTTTTCTGATGTATCAAATACTTATGTCATGCAATAAAATGCAAATTAATTACTTAAAAATCATACAATGTGATTTTCTGGATTTTTGTTTTAGATTCCGTCTCTCACAGTTGAAGTGTACCTATGATACAAATTACAGACCTCTACATGCTTTGTAAGTAGGAAAACCAGCAAAAATCGGCAGTGTATCAAATACTTGTTCTCCCCACTGTATATATATATATATGTATATATATATATATATATTTTAAACAGGGTGACGACTTCCATTTTCCATAATAAAAGGCAATTCAGTGTAAACTTAGTCAGCCGTGTCGTTAGCCAGCGTTGTTCTGACTGTGTGCTATGGTGAATCTCTAAACTCCCCGGGGGAAGTTACAATGGTACCCTATTCCCTTTATAGTGTACTATAAAGGGAGTAGTATAGGGGAAAGGGTACCATTTGGGACATCACCTTATAGTCTCAAGCCAAGGCTGCTCTTTCAATTAGCAGTACAGGAATAGCCAGCCTTGATGAATAATGTACATGGTCTGCTTCACTGAAATTAGACACTAACATCGTCATTGTGTGATTCCAACAGTAGGGGTTTGTTGTTGAAACAGGAGGTCCTCTAGTTCAAAGCTACTGTCTGTTAGCTGTACTAACGTTACTGTAGCTAGGTCCCCTCTAGTTCAAAGCTACTGTCTGTTAGCTGTACTAACGTTACTGTGGCTAGGTCCCCTCTAGTTCAAAGCTACTGTCTGTTAGCTGTACTAACGTTACTGTAGCTAGGTCCCCTCTAGTTCAAAGCTACTGTCTGTTAGCTGTACTAACGTTACTGTGGCTAGGTCCTCTAGTTCAAAGCTACTGTCTGTTAGCTGTACTAACGTTACTGTGGCTAGGTCCCCTCTAGTGCAAAGCTACTGTCTGTTAGCTGTACTAACGTTACTGTGGCTAGGTCCCCTCTAGTGCAAAGCTACTGTCTGTTAGCTGTACTAACGTTACTGTGGCTAGGTCCCCTCTAGTTCAAAGCTACTGTCTGTTAGCTGTACTAACGTTACTGTGGCTAGGTCCCCTCTAGTTCAAAGCTACTGTCTGTTAGCTGTACTAACGTTACTGTGGCTAGGTCCCCTCTAGTTCAAAGCTACTGTCTGTTAGCTGTACTAACGTTACTGTGGCTAGGTCCCCTCTAGTGCAAAGCTACTGTCTGTTAGCTGTACTAACGTTACTGTGGCTAGGTCCCCTCTAGTTCAAAGCTACTGTCTGTTAGCTGTACTAACGCTACTGTGGCTAGGTCCCCTCTAGTTCAAAGCTACTGTCTGTTAGCTGTACTAACGTTACTGTAGCTAGGTCCCCTCTAGTTCAAAGCTACTGTCTGTTAGCTGTACTAACGTTACTGTGGCTAGGTCCCCTCTAGTTCAAAGCTACTGTCTGTTAGCTGTACTAACGTTACTGTAGCTAGGTCCCCTCTAGTTCAAAGCTACTGTCTGTTAGCTGTACTAACGTTACTGTGGCTAGGTCCTCTAGTTCAAAGCTACTGTCTGTTAGCTGTACTAACGTTACTGTGGCTAGGTCCCCTCTAGTTCAAAGCTACTGTCTGTTAGCTGTACTAACGTTACTGTGGCTAGGTCCCCTCTAGTTCAAAGCTACTGTCTGTTAGCTGTACTAACGTTACTGTGGCTAGGTCCCCTCTAGTTCAAAGCTACTGTCTGTTAGCTGTACTAACGTTACTGTGGCTAGGTCCCCTCTAGTGCAAAGCTACTGTCTGTTAGCTGTACTAACGTTACTGTGGCTAGGTCCCCTCTAGTGCAAAGCTACTGTCTGTTAGCTGTACTAACGTTACTGTGGCTAGGTCCCCTCTAGTTCAAAGCTACTGTCTGTTAGCTGTACTAACGTTACTGTGGCTAGGTACCCTCTAGTTCAAAGCTACTGTCTGTTAGCTGTACTAACGTTACTGTGGCTAGGTCCCCTCTAGTTCAAAGCTACTGTCTGTTAGCTGTACTAACGTTACTGTGGCTAGGTCCCCTCTAGTTCAAAGCTACTGTCTGTTAGCTGTACTAACGTTACTGTGGCTAGGTCCCCTCTAGTTCAAAGCTACTGTCTGTTAGCTGTACTAACGTTACTGTGGCTAGGTCCCCTCTAGTTCAAAGCTACTGTCTGTTAGCTGTACTAACGCTACTGTGGCTAGGTCCCCTCTAGTTCAAAGCTACTGTCTGTTAGCTGTACTAACGTTACTGTGGCTAGGTCCCCTCTAGTTCAAAGCTACTGTCTGTTAGCTGTACTAACGTTACTGTGGCTAGGTCCCCTCTAGTGCAAAGCTACTGTCTGTTAGCTGTACTAACGTTACTGTGGCTAGGTCCCCTCTAGTGCAAAGCTACTGTCTGTTAGCTGTACTAACGTTACTGTGGCTAGGTCCCCCTCTAGTGCAAAGCTACTGTCTGTTAGCTGTACTAACGTTACTGTGGCTAGGTCCCCTCTAGTTCAAAGCTACTGTCTGTTAGCTGTACTAACGCTACTGTGGCTAGGTCCCCTCTAGTTCAAAGCTACTGTCTGTTAGCTGTACTAACGTTACTGTAGCTAGGTCCCCTCTAGTTCAAAGCTACTGTCTGTTAGCTGTACTAACGCTACTGTAGCTAGGTCCCCTCTAGTTCAAAGATACTGTCTGTTAGCTGTACTAACGTTACTGTGGCTAGGTCCCCTCTAGTTCAAAGCTACTGGTCCTGTTAGTCTGTACTAACGTTACTGTGGCTAAGGGTCCCACTCTAGTTCAAAGATACTGTCTGTTAGCTGTACTAACGTTACCCCCCTAGTTCAAATCCTGTTTGCTGTACTAACGTACTGTTGGCTAGGTCCCCTCTAGTTCAAAGCTACTGTCTGTTAGCTGTACTAACGTTACTGTGGCTAGGTCCCCTCTAGTGCAAAGCTAACTGTCTGGTAGCTGTACTAACGTTACTGTGGCTAGGTCCCCCCCTAGTGGCAAAGCTACTGGTCCTGGTTAGCTGTACAACTAACGTTTACTTGGGCTAGGTCCCCCTCTAGTTTCAAAGATACTGTCTGTTAGCTGTACTAACGCTACGTGGCTAGGTCCCCTCTAGTTCAAAGCTACTGTCTGTTAGCTGTACTAACGTTACTGTGGCTAGGTCCCCTCTAGTGCAAAGCTACTGTCTGTTAGCTGTACTAACGTTACTGTGGCTAGGTCCCCTCTAGTGCAAAGCTACTGTCTGTTAGCTGTACTAACGTTACTGTGGCTAGGTCCCCTCTAGTGCAAAGATACTGTATATAGGCAATTTCCTCAGACCTGTGGCTGTTTCCATGGGACTGTGCTTTCCCTACTGACTGGCAAACACCAGGATAGATTCAAACCAAATTCTCCCTGTGTACTGACACAATGCAAAGTCCGATATGGATGGAGTGATAACATGCGACAACTATCAATGAATACATATATACGGTATCTAGGAAGAGTTTCAAACAGAATCAACCGACTGGGCTGAGTATTGGAATAGGAAGTGGTAACGTTCCCGGCTAGTCACATACACGCTATTCCCCACCAGAGACTGGGGTTCAATCCCCACATCCACCCTTCCTACTGTTCTCTCACTTGCCTGTCTCCCCCTCTGTTTCGAACTATAGTCTAAAATGAAGCGAAAAAAAACTATCCCAAAAATGTGCATGGGTGTGTTTGTCACCTGGTTCTCAGTGAGGTGAAGCACAGTCTTTTTGTAGGAGATGACGTCAAAATCCACTGCCTTCCACACAGCGTGGCCCAGGAGGCTGCCCACATTCCTCTTCTTGGTAATGACAATCAGGTACATCCCTGTGAGAGGGGAAACCAAGGGTTAACATGGCAGCCTGGTCAGCACCACATATATGAACAGTGACGTGTTACATCTTGTTGAACAAGATGGAAGTTACGTCCAGATAATCTCTCCTTCCTTCCAAAGTATACACTTGTTCACTTCCCACTGATTTGAAGGGAAATTACTGCTACAAGGAATACGGTGGAACCTCCCACTAGCCCATGCCTCCACCAATCCAATGTTTTTATAATATAAGGAATACGGTGGAACCTCCCACTAGCCCCGGCCTCCACCAATCCAATGTTTTTATAATATAAGGAATACGGTGGAACCTCCCACTAGCCCTCCACCAATCCAATGTTTTTATAATATAAGGAATACGGTGGAACCTCCCACTAGCCCCGGCCTCCACCAATCCAATGTTTTTATAATATAAGGAATACGGTGGAACCTCCCACTAGCCCCGGCCTCCACCAATCCAATGTTTTTATAATATAAGGAATACGGTGGAACCTCCCACTAGCCCCGGCCTCCACCAATCCAATGTTTTTATAATATAAGGAATACGGTGGAACCTCCCACTAGCCCCGGCCTCCACCAATCCAATGTTTTTATAATATAAGGAATACGGTGGAACCTCCCACTAGCCCCGGCCTCCACCAATCCAATGTTTTTATAATATAAGGAATACGGTGGAACCTCCCACTACACCCGCCATGTTTTTATAATATAAGAATACGGTGGAACCGCCCACTAGCCCCGGCCTCCACCAATCCAAATGTTTTTATAAATAAGGAATACGGTGGAACCTCCCACTAGCCCCGGCCTCCACCAATCCAATGTGTTTATATAATAAGGAATACGGTGGAACCTCCGGCTAGCCCCGGCCTCCACCAAACCCAATGTTTTTATACTAATAGACGGAATACCGGTTGGAACCTCCCACTAGCCCCGGCCTCCACCAATCCAATGTTTTTAGATTTGTGGAAAGTAGTAAACAAGTACACACTTCAGGAGAAAGGAGATATTGTTGGGGCGCACTGAGTGGTAGACCTACATCTTGTGTGACAAGATATAAGGACCAGCCCAGTGTCGTCAGGCTGTGGCCCTACCTGCCACCAGACGGACGGTCCCCATGATGCCGCAGATGGGCCTGGTGTTCGCCGACGGAGGAACATCCTTCTTCCCTAAAAGAAACAAGTAACAGGACAAACGTCAGTGTTTCACCTTAAATCATTTTCAGTGTAATCATAAACAACTCAAACCAGATATGAAGTATGTAGAAAAGATCACGGAGCTATATATACACTACCGTTCAAAAGTTTGGGGTCACTTAGAAATGTCCTTGTTTTCAAAAGAAAAGCAATTTTTTTCTCCATTAAAATAACATCAAATTGATCAGAAATACAGTGTAGACATTGTTAATGTTGTAAATGGCTATTGTAACTGGAAATGGCTGATTTTTTATGGAATATCTACATAGGCGTACAGAGGCCCATTATCAGCAACCATCAGTCCTGTGTTCCAATGGCACATTGTGTTTGCTAATCCAAGTTTATCATTTTAAAAAGGATAATTGATCATTAGAAAACCCTTTTACAATTATGTTAGCACAGCTGAAAACTGTTGTGCTGATTAAAGAAGCAATAAAAAACTGGCCTTCTTGAGACTAGTTGAGTATCTGGAGCATCAGCAATTGTGGGTTCGATTACAGGCTCAAAATGGCCAGAAACAAATAACTTCCTTCTGAAACTCGTCAGTCTAGTCTTGTTCTGAGAAATGAAGGCTATTCCATGCGAGAAATTGCCAAGAAACAGAAGATCTCGTACAACGCTGTGTACTACTCCCTTCATAGAACAGAGCAAACGGGCTCTAACCAGAATAGAAAGAGGAGTGGGAGGCCCCGGTGCACAACTGAGCAAGAGGACAAATATATGAGTGTCTAGTTTGAGAAACAGACGCCTCACAGGTCCTCAACTGGCAGCTTCATTAAATAGTACCTGCAAAACACCAGTCTCAACGTCAACAGTGAAGAGGCGACTCCGGGATGCTGACCTTCTAGGCAGAGTTGCAAAGAAAAAGCCATATCTCAGACTGGCCAATAAAAAGAAAAGATTAAGATGGGCAAAAGAACACAGACACTAGACAGAGGAAGATTGGAAAAAATGTGTTATGGACAGACAAGTCGAAGTTTGAGGTGTTCGGATCACAAAGAAGAACATTTGTGAGACGCAGACCAAATGAAAAGATGCTGGTGGAGTGATTGATGCCATCTGTCAAGCATGGTGGAGGCAATGTGATGGTCTGGGGGTGCTTTGGTGGTGGTAAAGTGGGAGATTTGTACAGGGTAAAGGGGATCTTGAAGAAGGAAGGCCATCACTCCATTTTGCAACGCCATGCCATACCCTGTGGACAGCGCTTGATTGGAGCCAATTTCCTCCTACAACAGGACAATGACCCAAAGCACAGCTCCAAACTATGCAATAACTATTTAGGGAAGAAGCAGTCAGCTGGTATTCTGTCTATAATGAAGTGGCCAGCACAGTCTCCGGATCTCAACCCTATTGAGCTGTTGTGGGAGCAGCTTGAACGTAAGAAGTGCCCATCAAGCCAATCCAACTTGTGGGAGGTGCTTCAGGAAGCATGGGGTGAAATCTCTTCAGATTACCTCAACAAATTGACAACTAGAATACCAATGGTCTGCAAGGCTGTAATTGCTGCAAATGGAGGATTCTTTGACAAAAGCAAAATTTGAAGGACATAATTATTATTTCTATTAAAATCAATATTTCTAACCTTGTCAATGACTACATTTCCTATTCAAACTCATTTAATGTATGTTTTCATGGAAAACGCAGACATTTCTAAGTGACCCCAAACTTTTTAACGGTAGTGTATACATCTTTAAATATCATCTTGAGAACTAACAATAACCAAAATACAGACGGACAGGGAGAATCAACATTTCCGAAAAGGCCATGGAATGGGGCCCCCATTGATTTTGTAATAATGTTTGAGTCATACAGATAGCATAAGAACACAGCATAAGCCATAGCAAAATGTGTAGAATTGCAGGACATTTGCTTTAAAAACTGCAATTTCTTCTCTCAGCCCCATGACAAAATGTGTAGAATTGCAGGAAATTAGCTTTAAAAACAGCTAAATGCCTCTGCAGCCAAGAGGAGGGTCTATAAAATGTTGGTCAGAAACAGTGCCATTGGCCACGGCCACTATTCACAACTTCCTCACTTCAGGAACTCCATTAGCTCCCTATAAAAACCCTCTCGGCACTCGTACAGAGTATGAGAAGGAACCATTAAAGGGTCATGGCACGGTTAGAACCATGAGCAGGGGTCAACTCTTATCTCCATCGCAACTCAGAGCGTCTTCATGTCCATATTAACTGACAGGAATTCGAATGGAATTGACCCCCCAACTCTGTTGACGCGCGCCAATCAATGGCAGTGTATTTCTGTTTTGTTTTGACACTCTTCCCATTGAAGCCACCAGGGTCGTATTCACTAGGATCCAAACGGAAACTGAAACAGGGAGCAACCTACCTGAATTAATCCAATAAAGAAATGCTTGTTTTTGTTTCCTGATGCAAAACATTTCGCTACGGTGTGCACTAAGTCTTACCAGTCAGGGTCATCTCATTGGACACCCTGTCGATGGCCAGAACTGCATCCGCCCCGTCATCACAGGCCTCAATATAGAACTTCTCTGGGGTAGTGTGCCTGTGGGAAGGGAGGGGGAATAATGAGGTTGTTGTGGAGTAGGAACGAAGTACCTTGGGGTAAACTTCACCCTGGAGCATGTTACAGAGAACGTCCAGTGACATGTTGGGTCAATAAAGAGCACCGTGAGATGCAGCACATTAAAGAGATGTAACAATAACCCTGAGGTTTATTACAGGGCAGACAGTAAACTTAGATAATGACAACTGTGATTAACATAGGACTACAGTCTGTAGAAGCACTGTGCAGCATCAAAATCTAAACCGGAAGGACAAGAGCTACACAGCGACTGTTAATGTTTTGCTTGCCAGTGCCACGGCGGTGACAGCAGACAAAGGAAATACCAGAATAAGCAACTTTCTGTCTCCATAGATACATGTTGCACTGCTTGTCCTATTTCTTGCTGAGGTTAGAGAGCATGGCATGTAATGACGTAAGCTTAATATCACAACAGATCAGCACCGTCAGATGTTGAAACAGGTTCGCTCAAGAGGACTGAGTATTGCCACTGTCTGTCTGCATTGAGGCAACACTCTTCTACACCACTGCCTGTCAGTGAGTATTGTACTGCATGAATCTCTTCCAATGATTAGGCCTAAAATGATGCATTCAGCAAGAGACTGAATGAAAAATTGCAACACTTGTCTTAGCCTAGGCCTGGTTTGACACACAAAGCAGAGTAGGCCTAGCCTACAAAAGCTCATTCACGCCTGTGCAAACAGAGAACATTTAGGCCTAAAAGGAACGGCAAAGAAGAACAATGTATTGTATAACAAAGGTGTTTCTCTGTCTCTGGCTATGATTGATTTCCTATTGCAGCATAAATGGGCTGAACAACTTAACCTGCAAGCAGGCTTGCTCAGAGCTGGAAAATCCTGCACCAGAAAAAAAAGTGTGGCCTCCTTTCTGGGCTACAGTAAAGTCTGTAGAGTAGAGCGCCATCATGCACTGAGCCTTAAGTGAGGACTGAGGAGAAGTGGCTGCCAGACAAAAGCCTTATTGTTAGGGACTTTTGAACACATTCTCATGCCACGGGAAAGCCTTGGACAACCAGATATACTGCTGGCATAACAACCACTCCATATTGCCTGCTTGCATGACTTGTAGTGATGTTGTGACTGAATTCAACAATCAAAAAGTAGGTTAGACCCTGTTCGTGGCCCACGGCTATTGTTTTGGCACATACCTATTCTCAACAAGCTATCGGTGCCATCTCTGATACATCAGCAGTACTTTATGAGCACCGTTGTTCTGTTAATACATCTACTAGTGACTTCGCCCATTCCCTTGGAGCTGAGTAGACATGTCTTTTTGAGCCACTCAGTCAGGTATTCAGATCCCCACCCCAATGTTGCCCAATATGTCCTGTACAGTGTCACACCCACTACAGCAGAGACAACACATAAAATTGAGCTTACACGACAAACTGTCCCAAAAAAAAATTTTATGCAAAACTTGGACTGATAAAACCATTGGTCTGTTTGCCTGCCCTGTAGGCTACTCCGTGTACTGTATATCATATACTTGAAAGGACAGGCAACTGGTCATGCAACATTAATGGCATTTACTAGGTAGTTATAGACTGCATTGCCATTGGTTGTTGGCTTAGCTAGCATTCAGCAAGCAATCAGGCTAACTAGCTGATGTCAACCCGACTTTTGACAATCATAATAAGATAATGACACATGTCCACTGTACATCTCTGTGGGTGAAAACGCGGATCAGATATTGCTTATACTTGATTGGTGTCGTTTAATTACATTTAAAAGTGAAGCACAATACTTACAAATTGAACCTCTCGTAGGCAGTCGGCATCTTCACTTCTTGTAGCAGTCTGACCTCAGTGATCTTCTTCGGTGGTGTTTTAGGGCAGATTACACCGGAAATGGTGTAGCGCCGCCCACTACTGGTTGCGGGAAATAAATGACAAACGTAAAAACCTCAGCAAACTCAATGCACTAAGGCAGGGTTCTTCAATTCCGGTCCTGGAGGGCCGAAACACCTCTGTTTTTCATCCTCTCCTTCTAATCAGGGGCTAATTCAGACCTGGGACACCAGGTGAGTGCAATTAACTACCAGGTAGAAATAAAAAACAGAAGTGTTTCGGCCCTCCAGGACCGGAATTGAAGAACCCTGGAATGGACCCACCTTGTCGTCAACGACCCACGACTTCTCTACTTGTAGCCCCACACTGAGCCCAAAACCTCAGCAAACTCAATGCACTAAGGTATTAGAGAGGAACAGGAAGAGAGAAGCCCAACTCGGCGGAAAATCGGTTTCCCTCCAGCAGATGGAGATGTTTCGTTGTTAAGCCCTCCAAGCAAGGAGTTTTTGAATAGAGATCAATCAGTGTCGAATTTTAAAAACAAAAAGGCTTATTTGATAGAAGTTTCGTAACGTTTAAGTTGTTACGAGTGTACTGATATAAGTAGGACACGTGACATCTCGGCAACTTTGAGAATAACCACTTTATATCAGTACACTCGTAACAACTTAAATATTTATATTCCCACGGGGGGGCAGTATAAAAAAAATATATATATATATATATGTATTCACTAACTGTAAGTCGCTCTGGATAAGAGCGTCTGCTAAATGACTAAAATGTCAATGTAAATGTATCAGAGTTGTCTCGAGATGGCTATGCATATTCATGACATGAGGCTGGTTGAATACAGACGGTTGACGTCAACAACCTTCATCGAATATTCCGAAAAGGATTACAATAATGAGATGTATCCACCAATCCAAAGAACGAATAGACGGGCGCTAGACAGCCCCTCCGTGCCGCTTTGTGGATAACGACTTCCATTGTTAGGGCGGAGAGACGTGTATTTTGTCAGTATATTCATAAAAGGGGGGCTTGCCAGAGGGTGTGGTTTGTAGCCCTGTCATGGATATTTAGGGAGAAAATACGCCACCTCGTGTCGGAGGTTTAGAAATCTCAGAACTTTTCTATATTTTCCAGTTTATCTGGCTGTCACCTTGTACATATTTACCTGAAAACAAACGTGGAAATATAAACAGTACAATATTGTATCTAAACATCATTATGGTATATGTATGTATAAAAACAGGGAGTATATGTGCTAGCCGTAAAACTGTAAGGACCCAGCCGTATAAATACAACGCACCCTCTCTCCAATCAAGTCGCTTGCTTTAGTCGTCAAGGGAGGTGAGAAAAATATGCATTACATTTATGTCCGGAAAAATACAACCCAGATGGGTTGGCAATGCGTGTTATAAAGAAGGCGAGTGTGGCTGAGCGGTTGCCCAAGTCACAAGAAGTTTGCAAGGTAAATTTACCAACTAGTTATCCCTACCTACTTTAGCTAGCTGAATCGGCCAACCTTAAAACCCATCAAGCAAGCTATGTGGATGGGGTGTAATCAATGTGAGATTGTTAGATAACGCGAATAATTAAATGTGCCTGGAGATTGGAGTGTTTATGATGGTTTACTAGACTAGAGTCTCTGATTTACAGTGATGTTCTTTCACAGTGTACTGACACACTTCCCTCAATGATGTATAACTACATATTGAGTTTAAAGAGAATGGAACTAACGCAACACGTTTGGTTGTCTCTCAGGAACGAGAGTTGCCAGCAGTGGTCGATCATATTTCATGGTGAGTTTTTGTGGCATCTGGAGGGAGACCAATAATGCGAAGTCATGGAAGTTAGATCCATTGTTGTAGGCGTACCGCCCGCAAAGGTTGTCAAGTTTACTCAGCATTAATGTCGAAGTCTCATTACATTTTGCATGTTAGAAAGGCCACATTTCACATGTGAACGTGCTGCACGATGTTCCAATAAAATTTTTGTTTGTTAAGCATGGCATTTTGTCAGGTGTGGGAAATTATTCTCTTATATTTTAGATGTGCTGTTAGCTTAATAAGAAAGCATTAATGATTAAACATAAAAGGTTTGTACTGATATAAATTGTTTAACATAACAAGCTGTGATTCATGTGAGGAGCTGTTAGGGAGTAGGGTGAGATAAGGCTTGTGACTCACACTGCCTCTTTGTTGAACCGTCCAAGGACGTAGGTACAAAGAGTATAGTTAGGGTGGGAAAGTACAGGGAAACTGTGTCTATGGGTGCTGACTCTCTGGACAAGTTGTGGAGATAACAATTAATGCCTGGCAACAGTGAAGGGCCTGGGACCAGCCTGTGCGCCAACGATAGGCTGAGTAAGTCTAAACCACTCTCAGTCTCTACTCTGATTGGCCAGCAGGGAGCGGGAACTATCTCTGTCAGAGTATTTAGGGAAGAACTTATAACAATGGACCAGTTCTCTGTCTGCCCTGCGTGGTATTTCAGTGGACCCGTATATACGAACATCATATTTACCATTTTAAGTGTTTTGCATTAATTAAAATACTAGTCTATTTTAGAAGACGTGTATTGACCTCTTTTTGTTCCAATACCAGATTTGAATTGACACAAATTATCACAGGCCAGTATTGGATGGCATTTACGAGTAAGTTAGATAACTAACGTTACTAGCATAACTCTGTTGCATCCTAGGTGGTCATCAGAATGGCTAACAATTAACAGAGTTATTGGTTAAATATGATGATTCGATAAAAGACAGTACTGCGCAGCCGTCTTCATCGACCTGGCCAAGGCTTTCGACTCTGTCAACCACCGCATTCTTATTGGCAGACTAAATAGCCTTGGTTTCTTAAATTACTGCCTTGCCTGGTTCACCAACTACTTCTCAGAGTTCAGTGTGTCAAATCGGAGGGCCTGTTGTCTGGACCTCTGGCAGTCTCTATGGGGGTGCCACAGGATTAAATTCTCGGGCAGACTCTATTCTCTGTGTATATCAATGATGTCGCTCTTGCTGCTGGTGACTCTCAGATCCACCTCTATGCAGACGACACCATTTTGTATACATCTGGCCCTTCATTGGACACTGTTAACAAACCTCCAAACGAGCTTCAATGCCATACAACACTCCTTCCGTAGCCTCCAACTGCTCTTAAACACTAGTAAAACTAAATGCATGCTCTTCAATCGAATGCTGCTGGCACCCGCCCACCCGACTAGAATCACTACTCTCGGCGGGTCTGACCTAGAGTATGTGGACAACTACAAATACCTAGGTGTCTGGTTAGACCGTAAACTCTCCTTAGACCGTAAACTCTCCTTCCAGACTCACATTAAGCATCTCCAATCAAACGTTAAATCTAGAATCAGCTTCCTATTTCGCAACAAAGCCTCCTTCACTCATGCTGCCAAACATGCCCTCGTAAAACTGACTATCCTACCGATCCTTGACTTCGGCAATGTCATTTACAAAATAGCCTCCAACACTCTACTCAGCAAATTGGATGTAATCTATCACAGTGCCATCCGTTTTGTCACCAAAGCCCCATATACTACCCACCATTGTGACCTGTACGCTCTTGTTGGCTGGCCCTCACTACATATTAGTCGCCAAACCCACTGGCTCCAGGTCATCTATAAATCACTGCTAGGCAAATCCCTGTCTTATCTTAGCTCACTGGTCACCATAGCAACACCCACCCGTAGTATGCACTCCAGCAGGTATATCTCACTGGTCATCCCCAAAGCCAACACCTCCTTTGGCCGCTATTCCTTCCAGTTCTCTGCTGCCAATGACTGGAACGAACTGCAAAATTCTCTGAAGCTGGAGACTCTTATCTCCCTCACTATCTTTAAGCATCAGTTGTCAGAGCAGCTTACTGATCACTGCACCTGTACACAGCCCATCTGTAATTAGCCCACCCAACTACCTCATCCCTATATTGTTATTTATTTTGCTAATTTGCACCCCAGTATCTCTATTTGCACATCATCTTTTGCACATCTATCATTCTAGTGTTAATACGAAATTGTAACTATTTTGCACTATGGCCTATTTATTGCCTTACCTCCATAATTTAATACAGTCGCACACACTGTATATATATTTTCTGTTTGTATTTTTGACTTTGTTTTGTTTATTCCATATGTAACTCTGTGTTTTTATCGCACTGCTTTGCTTTATCTTGGCCAGGTCGCAGTTGTAAATGAGAACTTGTTCTCAACTGGCTTACCTGGTTAAATAAAGGTGATTTTTTTATATATCTATATCTCTATATCTGAATGGTTTTGCAAACTATGCTGAAATTTGACGTTTCTTTTGGTTATCAGATGAACCCCTGTTGACACTATACACATTCAAAGTTACAGAATGTTGGGTTCTACAGAATACCATGTGTTAACTCTTTCGCCATCTCTAACACAGCATGCTTAGGTTCCAGAAGAGGCTCGTCTCCTGCGCTGTGGGAAGAAGATATGGCTGGATCCCAATGAGAACGCCAACTCCCCGCAAGTGTTCAGCCAATCGGTGAGAGTAATGCAGAGTTGGATCCCATCAGTGTATGCATTCATGATTTCCTAGACTAGTCTCTGAGAACATCGGGAAGTTAACTTCCCAGTGCTCTGGAAATGCATGCTGGGTATCATGCCATTTGAGGAAGTGCACGTTCCTATTGATTCTAATGTTTTTATTCCTTTCTAGACTGACAATGATTGATGGATACTTTCTGTTGCAAGTCTCTTACCCCTTGATGTGAAATGATACTTGCTAAGCATTAGTCTTCATTGAGGTTTAGTGACTCCATGCCTCGGAGTACTAGTGGCTGTGAATAAAGGCCCTAAACCGTAGCTAAATGTATTTATCCAAGTACATCTTTTTGCTTGTCAGTGATGTTTACCACAGTAACATTTGAGTTAAACGCCCATGAGAATACTTTACATGCACTACCATCTGAGACATAAAAAGCAACATTGTTGAATCATTTGAAAGTCAGGTTGTGGCAAATATCTTATGACTTGCTGTGTTACCTTTCCAGGTTCTGCTGCTTGATGGCAGAGGGCATTTAATTTGTCCACTTGCTGCCATTGTGGCAAAGCAAGTTCTGCTGGGTGAGTTTTGAAGTCAAATATTTATTTTGATCCATTAATACCTATCTAGTGACTGATCATTATCCAGTCCGAGGATTTCATGTCACTTGACCTGTGTAATTACACCTTGATATTGACCTAGCTATGTTTAACGTATAGCTTGCTACAGCTGTCGGTGATGCTGCTTAACCTACATTGCTTGAGTAAACTACTATGATAACTCACATTACCATCTGAGACAGTGGATATTATATAGTGGGCCTGTGTACTTGTCCATGTTTCATTACGTAGTCATGATTTCTCTGCATTCAGGCCACAAGGTGGTAGTTGAGGGTATCAACGTCTTTGGAAACTTTTAGTGTAACAAATGTAAGTAACTGACACATTGTATATTGTTAGGTTGACCTTTTTTGGTGTAATTAATGTTTTTTTTAGGGATAATGCCTGTAGCGTCTATATTGTCTATGATTTGGGTTCCTGAATTAAACGGATGCTTTCTCGCAGCGCGCTGAGACACTGACGTGTGAAATGTCAAGAGTAGGCAGATCAAGTAGTCTTAAAAGGAGATTGTATTCCTGTTCTCATATTGCAAACATCACAAAAAAAATTAAAAGTCTTTAAGGGTGACTGAGACATCAGTGGTCTGCATTTATGGTATCTATTCTGGAGGAAGACGATGCAAAGTCTTGTATGTTAGATCCATCTGTATGCATTAATGATGATTTCCTAGACTAGAGTCTCTGAATACAACATGAAGTTCACTTCACAGTGCTCTGAAAATGCATATCTGGTATCATGCCATGCAGAAAGTTCCAAGTGAATCCAACTTCACTAATTTCTTCCCAGTCTTAGACTGTGGGGTGGAGACCTTAATTTAAGGGGGCCCTATGTTTTGGTAAGTAATGCACTTCTGCCTCAGGGCTGCGTCCCAAAGGGCACTATTCCGTACATGATGTACTACTTTTGACTTAAGGCCCAAAGGGGTGCCATTTGGGACAGCGGCTCCTTTGAGAACTCAGCCAGTGGGTTGTTCTGGTGTGAAATGACAACTTACTAGCGTTGCTGACTAAAGCATGAAGTTATTTCACAGTGCACTGACCATAATTGTAATTTGCTTAATATTGGGTGTTGCTGATGGTATCTTCTGACAGTCATTCTTGGCCATGAAATCGGTTGCAAGGCACATTGTAATGGAGGGAGTAACTGCTTCTTTTTCATTTCTTGAGGTTTGAAGTGTTGCTGCATTCTCCTGCCCAGACTGCAGATAACACCAGGATCACTTGTGTACGTTGACAGGTCAGTACAAAAGACAATTGTTTTCTTGCTGTGTCTTTTGTGATGAATATACTAGATTAAAGTGTCTGATTTACCATGACGCTCTTTCACAGTGCACTGACACATTGCAATTTGTCATAAGTTGTTCCTAATATCATGTTATGTGGTTGAAACTGAAATGTTGGTCTTTTTAGGCCTGGAGGATCTTGAAAACGATGGGAGATTCTTCAAGGGCTTCAGTTGTGAAATGAAATGCTTCTAAGTAAACATTTAGTTGATTGGATTGTAAACTTTGCTGTATCCTGTGCATATGACCAATATTAACTTGGATTTGATTCCCCAAAGTTGCCAAGGCAACAGTCAAGGAATGTTGGTGATATGACATGTCGCTGGACTCCTTCCTACCAGAGTTTTCCTAAGTAAAACGCTTTGTGACAACTGCTGATGTAAAAAGGGCTATCTAAATAGAATTGTTAAAGTCCATTGCCACTAATCAAGTAATTTGTGCTTGCAGCATTTGAATAAAAAAATGAAGTCATCCTTGTACTGTGTATTTTTTTTACTATTGGGGAGGGGGTTTGTGATGGGGTTGGGCTTGCAAATTGTTTAGTATTATATCTAACACGCAACCATAGGTTTTATAAGGTTGCCCTTGTAAGAGGTTACTAACCAACACCTAAGTGTTCAATGTCGAAGTTTCACATGAAGACTAAATGCATCCTACATTTTTGAATGTAGTCTTCAAGCAGTAGGGAATTAAATATAGTTCCTTACAGTGACTAAACAATTGGGGGTATTTCACCGGCTGTGTAAATGCGAAGCATCCGGTTCGCGGTTCCCCTCACTACCAAATTTGGTGCTGGAGGAAGCCCAGTGACCGGCAGTGGGAGAAGATGGATTTTGGCCGAGAGTCTGCAAATTTTCTGATCGATTAAACATTTGATCTCCATACGGTTTAATTTCCAAAACTACAATCTGTAACCAACAGTGGACTGGGTTTTGTAGACTTTAACCTTTGCCAAAGTAAAAAATAAAGGCGTGCAAGTGCTAATTGAGTTATTGCACGCACACACTTCACAGATTAGGTGTCCTCTGTAGCTCAGCTGGTAGAGCACGGCGCTTGTAACGCCAAGGTAGTGGGTTCGATCCCCGGGACCACCCATACACAAAAAATGTATGCACGCATGACTGTAAGTCGCTTTGGATAAAATGGCATATTATATTATATTATATTCCTAAAAGGAAATATGCAAATAAATGCTAGAACGCGCCAACAGGATCTCACTAGCCTGTTCTTGGCTTTGCCCACCTTGCTTATTCTGCCCGCTATGATTCATTTGCTCCCATTGGAAACGAGAGGCTCTGGTGTATCTTGGGTTAGTTATGCACATCTTTGGGACAGTTCTCGTCCCTTTGCTGCTTTCACTCGGCTCGGAAGTATGCCAGCTATTTCCGGTTCCAGGTGCGGTCTATTGTATGCTAACCAGTTAGCAGCTTCAATTACTATGCAGCTAATCGGCGAGTTGGCAGTTTGGAATAAACATCTAGCTAATGTCGTATGGACACCACTGTAAAATATGCCAGTCGATTGAGTGGATACATCCGTAACGTTTAGATAAAAGTTAATTACATATGGTACGCAAATAAACCTATTTTGCCAATAAATTGTCGATAGCTAGCTACGCTACGTGGATGTTGTCGGATCTTGGCCAGCTAACGAACAGTCATTGGGGACAAGGTGAGCGAGTGTTGCTTTACCAACTCCACAACTTGATGCGAGTGACAACTGTCTAATAACTTAATTTAACAAGACTACCGTTTAGATAGCTAAACGTAACATTTGCTTGGAATTGTATTGTAGTAAGATTATCTAGTTCCTAGCTGGCGAATGTTAACAAAAAATAGTAGTAGCTAACAAGTTAGCTGTGAATTTGTGAACTAATTTGTTAGCTAATTTATGAAGAGTTATAGCTAGTTATGTTGTAACAATGAGTTGACTCATATTTTAATGTCCCCCCCCCACCCCCCCAGATCAAGAAGTGGAAGAGACTACACGCAGTTTGATTTGAAGATATATTTCCTGTTTATCCTTAGGCTGAGGAACTCCAGAGAAACACATTGTCAGAGTTTAAGATCTGCTTGCTACATTCCTCCTCTAAACAAGAAGAAAGTCTTTACCCTGTGAAGTTAGTTGGACATGTACTTCAGAAAGTACCAGAAAATATTGTAACCAAGTATAGTTATGTATAGATTATAAGAGAGACAGTTTTACATGTCTACGGTGTAAAGATTAGGGATTCCATTTGAAGCTAAGTTATTTGTATTACTCCAAAAGTGTATTTTGGTATAGTTTATTTGTTTGTATATGACACTCACTGTTATAAGAGCAAAATTGGCTAAAGCAAGGTGAAAGTCTATTTGGGGAAGACATGTAGCTAGTACCTCACATTGGAATTTTCCCTTGGGCGTTGGTGTTGCGCTTTGTAGGGACCGTATTGTTGGTTTTGATATAACGTTGAACACACATACAGGTCTTTCATGTCCTGAGGTGCACACCCTCTTAATTCCTTGTATCTAACGACAAGGAGAGTTAATTTGACTCATTAATCTAATGTACTATATACTCTAACAAAACCTTTCAACAAAATCTTAGAGCTGATAGAAATAATATATAAAGTTTAACCCATTATTACATTCTTGATAAGTTCTTTAGTCTAAAATCCAGACAGAGTTAAGGGCACTAAACTAAGGTAGCTGACATGACAGCTGTAGTAGGAAGAGTTTGGGGTTGGGTGCGTCCAGCAATCTCCTACCGGCCCTGGGGCAGCAAAGCAGCACCTGACAAAACCATGAGGGAAGAGAGGCAGACGAGAGGCAGCTGGGGCTTGGGAGGGTTAACAACCTGGGTTTGGGGAGCCGGACAGAAAAGGCAAACAAGTGACCAAACAACCTTGATTGAGGAGTACTGGGAAGCAAGTGAGGAGAACATCCAGTCCATGGACATTGGAGATCTGGGCGTGGCCAAGCAGGAGGCTGAAGGGAAAGCAGAACATGGTGGCTCCAGATGGTGGAATAAAATTCTGCGGTCCTCAGACTTCCTCTGGCCAAAAACAGCTGAACCTGGTGGCCTCAGGCAGAGGAAATGTGTTGGCGGAGGATGGGACTCTGACAACGATGGGGAGTATTCTGACTATGGAACCCCTCCACCATCTCCCACACCTACCTCTTCCTCAGCCTTCCGGTTCTTTGCACGTGCCTGGAATGGGGAGATAGTTCCGGAACACTATGAGATCTGCTTCAACCTCCTTCGCCACCTGTTTGACCTGTTTGTGGTGGGTTTCCTGTGGACTGTGTCCCCCCCTACCAAGTTGGTCCTGGAAGTGCTAGGGGTCCAAGGAGGACTGAAGTTGTGGCTCCATGGAATGGCCATGTTTTCCGTCTCCACTGTTGGAATGGCAGGACTGCTCTGGTTGGTCCAGGAGTATCTTCCACAGTTTGCTCTGGTGTACGGCATCGTGCAAGCACTGGTCATCTCTGTCAGCGTCCGGCAGAGTGTGATCTTAGGAGAGGGGGATGAGGTGGAGGAAGAGAAAGTGGAAAAGGAGGTGGAGGATGAGGAAGTGGGAGACGATGGGGAAGTTACAGAGATGTACCCGACTACAAAATAATACATCAAAGGAAAGATGATCCTTGAAAGAAAGTTTGTTTTGGTAAGTTCTTTCAGTCTCTTCTCCCTCTTTCTGTTGGAATTTTCTGGTCTCTCTCACTGTCCTGATCTGCACAGTTTTCAAACTACTACAGCCTTGGGATGTCAAGTGTGAGTGTTGGTTAACGAAACGCTCTTAACCGCTAGGCTACAGACCGCCCTGCTTGGAGCTAATTTAATCTGTAGCCTGCCACTAGCTGCTCTGCTTGGAGCTATTTTAATCTGTAGCCTGCCACTAGCGACTCTGCTTGGAGCTATTTTAATCTGTAGCCTGCCACTAGCGGCTCTGCTTGGAGCTATTTTAATCTGTAGCCTGCCACTAGCGACTCTGCTTGGAGCTATTTTAATCTGTAGCCTGCCACTAGCGACTCTGCTTGGAGCTAATTTAATCTGTAGCCTGCCACTAGCGGCTCTGCTTGGAGCTATTTTAATCTGTAGCCTGCCACTAGCGGCTCTGCTTGGAGCTATTTTAATCTGTAGCCTGCCACTAGCGGCTCTGCTTGGAGCTTAATCCCCTAGCGACTTAATCTGTAGCCTGCCACTAGCGACTCTGCTTGGAGCTATTTTAATCTGTAGCCTGCCACTAGCGGCTCTGCTTGGAGCTATTTTAATCTGTAGCCTGCCACTAGCGGCTCTGCTTGGAGCTATTTTAATCTGTAGCCTGCCACTAGCAGCTCTGCTCGGAGCTATTTTAATCTGTAGCCTGCCACTAGCTGCTCTGCTTGGAGCTATTTTAATCTGTAGCCTGCCACTAGCGGCTCTGCTTGGAGCTATTTTAATCTGTAGCCTGCCACTAGCGACTCTGCTTGGAGCTATTTTAATCTGTAGCCTGCCACTAGCGGCTCTGCTTGGAGCTATTTTAATCTGTAGCCTGCCACTAGCGACTCTGCTTGGAGCTATTTTAATCTGTAGCCTGCCACTAGCGACTCTGCTTGGAGCTATTTTAATCTGTAGCCTGCCACTAGCGGCTCTGCTTGGAGCTATTTTAATCTGTAGCCTGCCACTAGCAGCTCTGCTCGGAGCTATTTTAATCTGTAGCCTGCCACTAGCTGCTCTGCTTGGAGCTATTTTAATCTGTAGCCTGCCACTAGCGGCTCTGCTTGGAGCTATTTTAATCTGTAGCCTGCCACTAGCGACTCTGCTTGGAGCTATTTTAATCTGTAGCCTGCCACTAGCGGCTCTGCTTGGAGCTATTTTAATCTGTAGCCTGCCACTAGCGGCTCTGCTTGGAGCTATTTTAATCTGTAGCCTGCCACTAGCGGCTCTGCTTGGAGCTATTTTAATCTGTAGCCTGCCACTAGCGGCTCTGCTTGGAGCTATTTTAATCTGTAGCCTGCCACTAGCGACTCTGCTTGGAGCTAATTTAATCTGTAGCCTGCCACTAGCAGCTCTGCTTGGAGCTAATTTAATCTGTAGCCTGCCACTAGCGACTCTGCTTGGAGCTAATTTAATCTGTAGCCTGCCACTAGCGGCTCTGCTTGGAGCTATTTTAATCTGTAGCCTGCTACTAGCGGCTCTGCTTGGAGCTATTTTAATCTGTAGCCTGCCACTAGCGACTCTGCTTGGAGCTAATTTAATCTGTAGCCTGCCACTAGCGACTCTGCTTGGAGCTATTTTAATCTGTAGCCTGCCACTAGCGACTCTGCTTGGAGCTATTTTAATCTGTAGCCTGCCACTAGCGGCTCTGCTTGGAGCTATCTTAATCTGTAGCCTGCCACTAGCGGCTCTGCTTGGAGCTATTTTAATCTGTAGCCTGCCACTAGCGGCTCTGCTTGGAGCTATTTTAATCTGTAGCCTGCCACTAGCGACTCTGCTTGGAGCTAATTTAATCTGTAGCCTGCCACTAGCGGCTCTGCTTGGAGCTATTTTAATCTGTAGCCTGCCACTAGCGACTCTGCTTGGAGCTATTTTAATCTGTAGCCTGCCACTAGCGGCTCTGCTTGGAGCTATTTTAATCTGTAGCCTGCCACTAGCGACTCTGCTTGGAGCTAATTTAATCTGTAGCCTGCCACTAGCGGCTCTGCTTGGAGCTATTTTAATCTGTAGCCTGCCACTAGCGACTCTGCTTGGAGCTATTTTAATCTGTAGCCTGCCACTAGCGGCTCTGCTTGGAGCTATTTTAATCTGTAGCCTGCCACTAGCGACTCTGCTTGGAGCTATTTTAATCTGTAGCCTGCCACTAGCGACTCTGCTTGGAGCTATTTTAATCTGTAGCCTGCCACTAGCGACTCTGCTTGGAGCTATTTTAATCTGTAGCCTGCCACTAGCGGCTCTGCTTGGAGCTATTTTAATCTGTAGCCTGCCACTAGCGGCTCTGCTTGGAGCTATTTTAATCTGTAGCCTGCCACTAGCGGCTCTGCTTGGAGCTATTTTAATCTGTAGCCTGCCACTAGCGACTCTGCTTGGAGCTATTTTAATCTGTAGCCTGCCACTAGCGGCTCTGCTTGGAGCTATTTTAATCTGTAGCCTGCCACTAGCGGCTCTGCTTGGAGCTATTTTAATCTGTAGCCTGCCACTAGCGGCTCTGCTTGGAGCTATTTTAATCTGTAGCCTGCCACTAGCGGCTCTGCTTGGAGCTATTTTAATCTGTAGCCTGCCACTAGCGGCTCTGCTTGGAGCTATTTTAATCTGTAGCCTGCCACTAGCGACTCTGCTTGGAGCTAATTTAATCTGTAGCCTGCCACTAGCAGCTCTGCTTGGAGCTAATTTAATCTGTAGCCTGCCACTAGCGACTCTGCTTGGAGCTAATTTAATCTGTAGCCTGCCACTAGCGGCTCTGCTTGGAGCTATTTTAATCTGTAGCCTGCTACTAGCGGCTCTGCTTGGAGCTATTTTAATCTGTAGCCTGCCACTAGCGACTCTGCTTGGAGCTAATTTAATCTGTAGCCTGCCACTAGCGACTCTGCTTGGAGCTATTTTAATCTGTAGCCTGCCACTAGCGACTCTGCTTGGAGCTATTTTAATCTGTAGCCTGCCACTAGCGGCTCTGCTTGGAGCTATCTTAATCTGTAGCCTGCCACTAGCGGCTCTGCTTGGAGCTATTTTAATCTGTAGCCTGCCACTAGCGGCTCTGCTTGGAGCTATTTTAATCTGTAGCCTGCCACTAGCGACTCTGCTTGGAGCTAATTTAATCTGTAGCCTGCCACTAGCGGCTCTGCTTGGAGCTATTTTAATCTGTAGCCTGCCACTAGCGACTCTGCTTGGAGCTATTTTAATCTGTAGCCTGCCACTAGCGGCTCTGCTTGGAGCTATTTTAATCTGTAGCCTGCCACTAGCGACTCTGCTTGGAGCTAATTTAATCTGTAGCCTGCCACTAGCGGCTCTGCTTGGAGCTATTTTAATCTGTAGCCTGCCACTAGCGACTCTGCTTGGAGCTATTTTAATCTGTAGCCTGCCACTAGCGGCTCTGCTTGGAGCTATTTTAATCTGTAGCCTGCCACTAGCGACTCTGCTTGGAGCTATTTTAATCTGTAGCCTGCCACTAGCGACTCTGCTTGGAGCTATTTTAATCTGTAGCCTGCCACTAGCGACTCTGCTTGGAGCTATTTTAATCTGTAGCCTGCCACTAGCGGCTCTGCTTGGAGCTATTTTAATCTGTAGCCTGCCACTAGCGGCTCTGCTTGGAGCTATTTTAATCTGTAGCCTGCCACTAGCGGCTCTGCTTGGAGCTATTTTAATCTGTAGCCTGCCACTAGCGACTCTGCTTGGAGCTATTTTAATCTGTAGCCTGCCACTAGCGGCTCTGCTTGGAGCTATTTTAATCTGTAGCCTGCCACTAGCGGCTCTGCTTGGAGCTATTTTAATCTGTAGCCTGCCACTAGCGGCTCTGCTTGGAGCTATTTTAATCTGTAGCCTGCCACTAGCGGCTCTGCTTGGAGCTATTTTAATCTGTAGCCTGCCACTAGCGGCTCTGCTTGGAGCTATTTTAATCTGTAGCCTGCCACTAGCGGCTCTGCTTGGAGCTAATTTAATCTGTAGCCTGCCACTAGCGGCTCTGCTTGGAGCTATTTTAATCTGTAGCCTGCCACTAGCGGCTCTGCTTGGAGCTATTTTAATCTGTAGCCTGCCACTAGCGGCTCTGCTTGGAGCTATTTTAATCTGTAGCCTGCCACTAGCGACTCTGCTTGGAGCTATTTTAATCTGTAGCCTGCCACTAGCGGCTCTGCTTGGAGCTATTTTAATCTGTAGCCTGCCACTAGCGGCTCTGCTTGGAGCTATTTTAATCTGTAGCCTGCCACTAGCGACTCTGCTTGGAGCTATTTTAATCTTGCAACCAGAGAAAAGGAACTGTGACCTTCTCCAAGTTGTGTGAAACCAGCTTGAACTAATGACATATTTTTTTGGGGGGGAAATACATGTCATTACAGTTTACATAGAGCGCAATGATGTAGGAAGAAAGGATGGGGTTTTATTTGCCAGAAGGGGTGCTGCTATAACAGCCACAAGCAACAGCAGGCCCATTGGATCAAAGTGAGGGTTCTGTCCCTTTAATAGGGTCTTATCTTAGCTCATTGGTCACCATAGCAGCACCCACCCGTAGTCTGCGCTCCAGCAGGTATATCTCTCTGGTCATTCCCAAAGCCAACACCTCCTTTGGCCGCCATTCCTTCCAGTTCTCTGCTGCCAATGACTGGAACGAATTGCAAAAATCTCTGAAGCTGGAGACTCTTATCTCCCTCACTAACTTTAAGCATCAGTTGTCAGAGCACCTTACCGATCACTGCACCTGTACACAGCCCATCTGAAATTAGCCCACCCAACTACCTCATCCCTATATTGTTATTTATTTTGCTCTTTTGTACCCCAGTATCTCTATTTGCACATAATCTCTTGCACATCTAGCATTCCAGTGTTAATACTATTGTAATTATTCTGCACTATAGCCTATTTATTGCCTTACCTCCATAACTTGCTACATTTGCACACACTGTATATATATTTTCTGTTGTATTTCTGACTTTA